ACTGACTTGTTTTTCTTTAACCTATACATATATGTGATATATGCTGTTTTCCAGGAATGGTATATTGTAAAGAACCAACTGTCTGCCTTCATACCTCTGTCTTGTACAGGGGACAGAAAAGCCCCATATACATCTAATTTAGGAATATGAGGGTTTGTGGCAGAAATTGCTACTTGACTGCCGAATGTCCATTCTTGCTTTCCATGCCAGCAGCTTGAATGTTTCTGGGAATAAGCCCCCACAGCATTGACTTCTTTCAGCCTGGGGACAATAGGAGAAGGAAGTGTGGTTTATAGACATTATGGACAAGTTTGTTTAGACTGACACTCTATTTCTCATCACATTTTACAAATATTTTTATTGAAGTATAATTGGTATACACTCATATGTTGGTTAATAGTTTCAAATCTATTATAATGAAGTCTGTTAACTTTTGTGAGATATTAAGATTATCCTCTTTTATTGTCAGAGAATTTAGAATGAATTCTGATAACTGAATGATGTGGGACTCTAGCTGTTCAATATATGGTAAATGATCATTTCTTGAGTGTGTGTCTGACCTGTGAGGCTCCTACCTGCCATTTATGGGCTTCGCTTCCAGTCAGTTCGGTTTTAATGTCTTCCCAGTACTCTGGGTATCCATCCCTCAGTGAACCAGTGGTGGGTAGTTTGGAGTCTGTGTGCTGGTTGGTCTATGGCACACTTTTGTCACAAAGATTTGGACATGCTCTTTCCATTCAGATCCAAGCATCTGTAGCCTGGCGATGAGCCTGGGAGTTGTACACAAAATCATGGGATTGCTTCCTGAGCTCCCTTACCTCAGCTACACCCCAATATTTTCCTGTTCCTACAGGTCTTTCCCTGGTGTTCTTACAAGGAACTGAGACTGCAGTTACCTTGCTCCAATGTGCCATCCCATGACTGTGTCTGTATCCCTTCTAAGAAGTGAGGAGATATAGACAGACCCAAGACCAACAGGAACACCTGCTCCCCACATTCCTGGGGTCATGGGTCCTGTAGTCAGGGAGCGTGTTCTCCTTCCACCACATTTCAGGTGTCTGCCTGGCCACTGCTGTCACTGTGGGGCTGCAGGGTTGCCTGGGGTTGGGGCAGAGAAGAAGAGAAATCCCCACCAACTCTGACCTACAGGGGCCCTATTCCCCAGTAAGTGCAGAAACCCATAGCTTCTCTTGGAGCTCTCCTGTCGGCTGTTAACGGCAGTGCTCGGTTTCAGGCTTTTTTGAGTCCAGGCTGACAGCAAAAAGAAACAACAAAGAAGGGCAGATATGCTTGACAGGTAGTACTTCAATATATATTTTCCTTCCCCAATCTACCTGGTACCATTTACTTTTTAGAGTCCTCAAAGCCGTCGATTTTCCCCATGGTTGTATTTGCATTCACTGGGAGAGACAGGGTACGGTCATTCTTACCATATCCTCACTGAACTAACTTTAAAACATTTTATTTTGAAAAATGCAAAACATATGAAAGTAGGCAAGTATAGTGAACTCCCACGTACTTATTGGCCAGCTTCAAGCTCTGAAAACATTTCATCTACACACTCACCTAGCCACAAACTAAACTAATTTCAAGAAAATCTGAGACCTGGTGCCATTTCACACTTGGGATTTATAAAACTACAGCCATATACTATTGTATTAGCAAGAAATCAACAGTTATTTCTTAATATTTCAGTAACTATTTCAATTCCCTCAATCATCCCATGATGTTTTCAGTTGGTTCATGCCTTGCATTTGGCTCATATATCACTTAATTTTATGGCATAAAATGTGGTCTATCTTTGTAAATAATCCAAGAAAAGTTGAGAAAAATGTGTATTCTGCTGTTGTTTTTTGGAGTGTCCTCTGGGTGTCATTCATGTCAGGCTGGTTGAGAGTTTTCTTTAAATCTATTACATCCTCACTGATGCTTTTCCAGGTCTATCCATTTCTCTCTCTGTCTCTCTCTCTGTCTCTCTCTGTCTCTCTCTGTCTGTCTGTCTCTCTCTCTCTCTCTCTCTCTCTCTCTCTCTCATAACTTGTTTACTCTGAAGTACAATATATTTAATATAGTTTTCACATTCTTCATGTCAATGTGAAATACCTCTTGTTATTACCTAATGATTATAAAAATACTAGTAATTTCAAAAAGAAAAATGATAGGACTAAAAGTCTGGAAAAAACTAGAAGAAAGATGGAAAATAGCATACATATTAGTTAGAACACCCATCATATTTGGGAAGATAAGTATACTAAATAAACTTATAGCATGTTGGGCTGGCCAAGTGGCACAGTTGGTTAAGAGCTCGCTCAAGAGTTTGAGCTCTGAGCAACAGCGGTTCAATGCCCGGCCCAAGCTGAGCTGCTGCTGAGCTGCCAACAGGCGGCAGGATGGCTTAGCTAAAAAAAAAATATATATATATATATATATATATATATATATATATATAATGTTATAAAATAATACAAAGTAATATATGTTAACATATAAGATCCAACACATTAATAAAAACATTATAGTTTCCAAAATGTATTGGAGGAGTCAGGGAGAGACTATTGAACAATTTGTCAAGACAGTATAAAACCAGAAAGAAAATAGATTATAAATGTAAAATAAATGAAATTATCTAACTATAAAGCAGAGAATATAAGAATAAACAAAAATTACAAAACTTGGGACCAGCCGAGTGGCGCGTTGGTTAAGAGCTGGCTTGGGATGCCAGAGGGCCCCGGTTCGGATCCCACATATGAGGGCCACTGCCCTCTACAGCTAAGAAGCTGGACAACAGCTTAACCTAGAGATGGGCTGCCATGAGTCGCCGGCAACGGCATAGGCTGCAGCCCCTGCTGCAGTGGGCTGCCATGGGTTACCGTGTGTAGCCAGCAGCCAGCATGAGTGGACAGCAGCCACGGTGAGCAGCCATCCAGAAGTCGGCGACTGATCTGCCTCACCCAGGAAGAGTGCAATGATGGTGCCAACTTGGGCCAGTGAAGCAACGTCCTCCACAACTAGACTGAAGAACAAAAGGACATCAACTTGTCTGTTCTCCTTCCCCCAATTCTCCAATAAAAATCTTTTTAAAAATTACAAAAATTGTATGCATTTATACAATGGAGTATTACTCCACCATAAAGAAGAATGAAATTGTAACATTTGGGATGATATGGATGGACTTAGAGACTATTACATTAAGTGAAATAAGTCAGTCGGAGAAAGACAAATACCATATGATTTCACTTATATGTGGACTCTAAAAAACTGAATGGGCAAGGAAAGTGAACAGAGGTGGTCTCAGAGATGTGGGGGTGCAGTTGATGGCTGTTGATTGGGGGGGTGGGAATGAGGGAGAGAGGGAGGAGGCTGGACAGCATAAATACACAGCTGCAGTGTTGCCATGGGGACATGGGGGACAGTTCGAGGAATGTAATTGATAATGTTGTGAATATTTTGTAGGGTGTCAGGTGGTCACATGTCTTGCATCATGGATGGGGAAGAGGCTTGATCACTGCACTGTACACCTGAAGCTGATGTTGTATAATATTGTATGTCAACTATAATTGAATATATATATGTATGTGTGTGTATATATATATATATATATATATATATATATATATATATAGGCATGGGACGTGGAGTATAGTGTGGGAGTGGAGTCAAGGGATTTGTAATAGATATGTATGATATTGGGGGGAAATGGGGCGGCGGATTGGGGGAGGGGGTTGTCACTTCGAGGGGTAAAAAGTATATTGCACTGTGTTGTACAGCTGAAACTAATTCTAAAAAATGTGTATTTCATAATAAAAAATAATTTAATAAAAAAAAGTATGCATCATGGTTCCAATAGTATAATTCATGCATATGCAACATACATACACCAGATAAAAATATATCAAAATATTAACATTTTTTATCATTGGACTATAGCATTACAGATAATATATATTCTATTCTATATTTTTCAATGTTGTCTGATGTTCCTGTGCTGAAATGATATTTATTTTTAAATCATAATAAAAAGTTATTTTAAAAGAAATAAAAGTAAAATAACTTTTACCCACTCAAAGAATTTTAAAATCATTTGCATCAAGGAAACAAGATTATAAATGGATGTTAATGAACCTGACTCAGCAGCAGGAAGTGGTTTTGTATAAATTGTTACAAAAATGTTTACAAGATAGAAGTAGATTCTAATCATGTTATGTATAGCACATTAAAGCTAATTTTTTTCCAGGTTGTTATTATGTCCTTTTCACAGATGGGTAAATTTAGATATAAACCCCATCTTAGACTGAGGAGCAAAATCCCTGACACAGCTGGGATCACCTACACCCCGTCTGTCAAACACTCTTCTTCATCATAAAAATTCACCCATAAGTAAAAAAGTGTAAGCAGCATAATCTAAAGATTTACCACTACATGATTGTGTGTGACAGGGATGACACAAATTCAAATGTGTGTAAATGAGATGCTATTATGAGTTGTTTGATCTGTGCCTACCAAGGCTTCTTCATTCTGAAGCTAGTCACAGGGCCAGGATGCAGATGAATTTTAAACAACCACTACTTCTTATTTCATTTTTATGCTTTTTTATTTTAATTTTGGTAACTGATAGGTCGGCCAGTAAAGGAACGCACACAGTCAGGCAAGTTAGGAAACTTTAAGAAAGTCTATTTTATTAAGAGAGTCAGTCTACTAGGCTGAGCAAAGATGGCTACAGCCCGGGCTGCACGTCTAAAGGAGACTCGCAGCCCCAAGGGAGGAGGTGAAGAGGGTTATATAGGGGCGGTGATGACAGGATAGCATTGTTTGAACAGAAAATGTTGACTGCCTGTATGCCAGTAGCTGTTTGGGGGAATTTTTTGTTATCGCAAGCTGGGTTCTGCCTGCAGGTGCAGGCCAACAGACATTTTGTTGTTTTCTTGCAGACATGGCTCTGTCTGTAAGTCAAGGTCCCTGAGACCTAACATTCAGAGACCTTACATAGAGTCAATGTCTCTAACATTCAGAGACCTAACATCCAGCCTTGTTGGTTATTAAAAAGGAGAGGGGCCCTTACCTCTCTCTTCTGTAGCTGCTTCAGGCTGAACAGAGACAGTAAGAGGAGGGGGACATTGTGGAAAGGGCTGGTAATGTTGTAGGAGAAGCATTATATGGACAGCTCCATTTGTGAAGGTCTGGAGTCGGCTCTGCTGGAATTGGATGAAAAGGCAGAGGAGGCAGGGACCAAAGGCTAGGACAAAAAAGATAATGATTAGAGGCCTTACAAGAGAAAGAAGTCAAGGGCCCCAGCTAGCCATAAACCCGAAGCTCCACTGGTTCTTGTGGCAGTCTCTGTTTTGTTTGTTTGTTTTTCTTAGGGGGGGCTGAGAGAGGTCCTGTGATAAGGCCTGAAAGTGGTGTAAGGAGACTCCTAGTCCTGCTGTCCCTGTCGCTACCCCCACAGAGATGTCCAGTGACACTAGGAGTGGAATAAGGGAGATGGCCTTTTTTCCGCACATGAGGGTGTATTTGGGGACAGGTAGAGATGGATTATTGGGAATGGTCTAAATATCTAGAGGAAGTAAAACTAGGGTGCAGGTGCATGTCCAGTTGGTGGAGAGGTAGGCATATGTGGAGGTTCCACAGAGGAAGAAGAGGCCAGAAGGATCAAGGCAGGTGAAGAGGAGGTCAAGAGAGAAGAAAGGAGCTAGGGTTCCCACATATTTTTTGGGGGGGAACTTTTTTGTCCCAAATAACAAACGTTCCCAACACTGTGGCTCCTGTGAGGTGCTGTATGGGAATGTCGGGTGTAAGGTTTTGATGTCTAAAGAGATGGAGTTTGAGTGTATCGAGGTAAAAGTTGGATCAGATGGAATAGGTAGCTTAAGACAGTTGGACCCCTTTTTGCCGGTATGGGGGAACAAAGAGGAGTCTTATTGGGGTCTGAGGCCTCCCCTGACAGTATAGGATGTTGATGTTAGTTGTTCTAGTGGTGCTGAGGCTAGGACAGGAGGAGAAGCAGAGGGCTTGTTGGAAGAAGGAACATGCAGAGGAGGTGGAATGAGGAAGAGAGGGTGAGATAGTGATGGTGGTATTATAGAGATTGGAGTCTAAGGTGCCCATGGGGTTCCGGTGGCCTGTGAGTGGAAGATGTAGAGGGGAATTGGGGTGTGGATGTGAGTAGAGGTACTTAAGGGGCTTACAATGGACCTGAATTTGTCATGGGCCTTATCTAAAGTATCAGTGAAAGTTTTCAGGTACTGTGTTGTTTTGAGCTGGTATTGGCTCAGGAAGGAGTTGTAGTGAGTGGTGGATTTAGAGTGGAAGGCAGGTCCGCATTGGACTTTGTAGAAGAGGGAGGCAGAGGTATTAGTCCATATTTGAGCCATTACGGGGACAGCAGTGAAGAGCTGAGTAGAGGTGGATAGGCAGAACCAGCAGTCTTGAGCAAGTAAGGGGGATGACTGAGTTAAAAGATGATGAGTTAGGTTGAGAGTCAGGAGGAGATAAGGGTCTGGAGAAGATAAGGGGGTAATGGTAGAGAAAGTGTTATGAGAGGGAAGAGTAATAGTATGAAGATGACTGGAGAGGGGTGGGGGAAGGACTTATGTCTCCTCTGGGGTTGAGAAGACAGGTGATGGAATCATTGAAAAGGAACTCTAAAATGGACCTGTGGAGATTAAGGGGAAAGGTGGAGATAACAGGATTTGGAGGGAGAGCAAATGAACCGGGAGTGAGGCTGGGGTTGTTTGGTTGGTCCAGCAAGAAAAGGGGCAGGGGCAGGAGTCACCATTCATGAATCTCCCGGGTTTTTACTAGGGATCTTGTGAAGTCAAAGCCGGTGGGGCTCAGGACTGAGCAGTGATATGGTGGAGCCTTGAGCGGTCCTGTGAAGTGACTGGACGGGCAGTCCAGCTGTCTTTTTTAGCCTAGAAAACTGAAACCAGGAGGGGTGACCCAGCAGCTTGGCTGCAGTGGGGGTGGTGAGAAGGACCTGGAAGGGCCCTTTTCACTGTGCTTATAAGTTTGAGGGGTTGAGGTCTTTGAGAGGTCTCCTAGAGCTATGAAAAGAGAGAGAGCAGAAGTGTCCTGGGATCTGGGAATAATGTGATCTGTATGTTTCCTAAGGATCTGCCAAGTGAGGCTAAGGGCTGGGAAGTAGTCTCCCATTGGTGAGCTATTAGGAGACAGGTTGTCTAGTAGGAAAGGTCTGCCATACATGAACTGAAAAGGACTGAGGAAGGTGGGGGCCCGAGGGGTGGTATGGATTTAATAAGGGAGATACGGTTGGCCGTGATGGCCCTGCGGGTGGGAGTGAGTTGGACTCCCAAGTAGAAAACCAAGGAGGTAGAGAGTTGTTTCTTGTGTGGGGATTCCTGGTAGCCCTTGTTACTAAGGAAGTTAAGAAGGATAGTGGTACGGCAGAGAGAGTGAATGAGATAGACTGTAAAAAAAAAGAGATCATCCACGTGCTGTAGGGGTGTGTTGGGAGCGAGGTTGAGAGAGGCTAGGTCAGCCACTAGGGCCTGGCCGAAGAAATGGGGGCTGTCCCTCTCTGGAATGTAGAGTGTTAGGGTCAGTCTAGATAAAGGAGAAGAGGTCCTGAGAATGAGGATGTAAGGGAATGGTAAAGAAGGCATCTTTGAGGTCCAGAACGGTGAAGGGAGTGGTATGAGTGGGGATCTGAGAAAGGAGGGTATAAGGGTTGGGGACGATGGGATGTGTTGGGGAACAGCTTGATTGATTATTTTAAGATCTTGAACAAGTCTATAGAACTCGTTGGGTTTTTTGACGGGCAAAATATGCATGTTATATGGGGAGTGGGTATCCCTGAGAAGACCCCTAGGTGGCAGCTGGTCGATGATGGGCTGTAGGCCCTTTTGATGGGTGAGACAGATGGGGTATTGGGGTTGGTTCAGAAACAAGGATAGATGGCATTGCTTGATCTTGACAGGACTGGTGTGTAGTGATAGAAGGGGTGGAGCTGTCTCAAACAACAGGATCGACGAGGGATGGAGGTAAGGGGATCTGTATTGGGGTGTCAGAAGGAAAGAGTGCGAGGAGGAGGATGGGTTTAGGGTCGGGTGGATGAAATTGAAAGGAGAGTCTAAATTTGGAGAGAATGTCTCGCCCTAATATAGGAGTGGGACACTTGGGGAGTACTAGACATGAACACGGAGTTATGGAGTGAGCAAGTTAGGGCAGGGGTAGTTACAGGACGTGAGATAAGGCTGTCAACCCCAACAATGGAGATATAGGAGGGATAAGTAGGCCCCAAAAATTTGGGGAGGGCAGAGTAGGTGGGTGGCTCCCGTGTCTATTGAGGAGATCACCTTACTTGCCATGTGAAGAGTTACTCTGGGCTCCACTGTTGTGACGCGGGAGGTAGCTGGGTCCCCTGGGCTCTGGGGTTAGTTTTTAGTACTTATCAGTCCTGAAAAGTGACTTGTTTGTCTGTTCAAAGAGGAGCTTAAGGTCTTCAGTTGGCTCACAGGAACAGAAGCAGTAGGTTTTTTTGGGGGGGAGGGGAGACCTGTGGAAACTGAAATAAAACAGGTTTGTTCGAAAGGAAGGGAACCCAGCTGCTGACTCTCTGTAGCCAGAAAGTAGTTGGGGTGTATGGGAGAACAGTAAAGAGTCCCTTCTGTTTAGGAGTTAACTGGGCTGTTAGAGACCCCCTCTCCCTCTAGGCTTTTAACAGCACTTGGTCCCAACTTTACAACTTTATGACTTTAAGAGGCTGTAATGTATAAGAGGAGTCAGCCTGGGGGAGGTGCCAGTCCTTATATTTTGAAGCCTGCTGGGCTTTTTCTCAAGTTAATAACACAGAAAATAACAGAATTGAGGGCAGAATCCAAAACAATGGTAGCAATTAGAGCTAGGGCTTAGAAATCTCCTGACAAAACATTTTAGAGTCCTTTTTAAGTCTGATTTGTGTATTTTATACTTTTCCTAAGACATAGACCAATGGTAAGGAAGAGGCTGAGTAAAATGAGCCCAAATCTAGGGGCTCTTTATCTTTACAACCAAATATGTTCTAGAGAAAATAAACAGGTCCAGAGTGAGCGGTCAAGAAAGAATAAATGGCTTTTATATTAATCAGGAAATTAACAGGCTTACTTGCCACATCAAGTGTCACCCACAGTTCCACCCTGTGTTGAGAACAGCTTGGGAGCCACTGGAAGCTTCAGGCCCAATAGAGATCAGAGCCATTTGTGGCGAGGAAGTTGGTCCCTGGTCCCTTCAGAACAGGGGGCAATCCCTCCTCCAGTGCCTTTTAGTTTGCACTGGGGGCACGGCTGCTTTGGAGGATTAGGACATTCCTTACTCCAGTGGTCTGGCGTTTCCTCTTCTGGGGTTTCTGGGGTGCCCTGAGGTGGCTTCAGCCCTGGGTTGCCTATAACTTTGGCCAAAAGTCTGGCCTGTCTCTGGCCTTGTCTCTAGTCTTACTGTTTCTTTGTTTGTTTTTTGTCTCGGTTGTTAAAGATATTTAAACAAATTTGTTGGCCTTCTCTAGGTTTAGTGGCTTTTTATTAAGATGTAACAATGGGTCAGAATTACTATAATTTCCTGTCGGGTGAGGGAGAATATTAGGCCAAGCTTAATGAATTTACCCTAACTTATGTAGGTTTTTGGTATAAAAAACAGTTTTTATTGCTTATACTGGCTTATATCTGACATGAGAAGGGCACATGAATGCCAGTAGTCCTAGAATACAGAAGTTTACAGAACTATTAGCAAAACGTAGTTATTAGATTTAGTTTTTTTCAGAAACCAAGGACCTGATTAAGATAACAAAACATAGAAATTATTGTGATGACATATATAATCTTTGTTTCTTAGACCGAAAACTTTTTTATAATATTACTAGTAGACCAATAGTCTGACAAACTTTGTCTTACTTAGTAGAGAGAGAAAGCTCAACTCAAGTTTTGTATGAGCTTCACAACCTTAATTTTTATTGATAACCAAAAGCAAATAATTAGCACTTTCCCTGGTAAATCGAGGAATATGTTTTATAACCTTCAAAAGCATAGGCTTTTGTAATATAATATATTATATATTCATTAACAGATCTTAATTTATGTTTTAGCGTTCCTGTGACAAGAAGCCAGAAATAGATAAGCTCAGACCTATCTAATAATTAGTATTTCAGTATTTTGTTATTTTGAAATACCTGGTTAATAACTTTTATCATTTAATACAACTTAATAAAACCAAGAAACCAGCCTTAGTATAAAATATTTTCTTAGATCACATGATCCTGAGACGTACTTGAGTTAGTTTTTATTATCTTAATTAACATAAGCACTTAATCTCTTAATTTTAGCCAATCAAATATTATAAACTGGTAATATCATCCGGAGGCAAAAACATTATAATACGTATAAAACATAGACAAGTATAGACCTTAGAGACTATATATATAAACAGAATCACCAACAATTGTAGAGAGGACCTAAGATCTTATAGTTGGCCTTATAACTTTAGGAGGCTGTAATAAGGAGTGGAGGCTTGCCGCCTGGGTTTAAAAGTGCCTCTTTTGTTCTCTTCAGTTACCTCAGCCTCAAGCGGAGGCTGCAGCAGCCCTTTGTTTAAATTTGAGGTTATTTATAAGACCTTGAAAGTCACTGAGAGTTAGGAAAACCTTTTAAGACTTAATTTTGTTAAGTTCCTGAATATAGAGTTGGTATACTAAACAATTTTAAATATATGACTTAGGGGGCTCACAGAAGGTATAGATATAGAGCTCCCAAGCCGCTTGGTGTCTAAGACACAAATAGAAAAGGAAAAGAGAAAGAGAAAAGACAGACTAGAGGCAAATAAAACAAATAAGTTATATAAACCAGAATACTTACAGAACCAAATCTTCCTGAAATGAGGAGCAGAGGCTCGGTGGAGAAGGTTTAGGCTGAAGGGATAGTAGGGCAGAGGAAGAGGGGCCCAAACATCATCTGGGTCAAAGGAGGGAGTTTAATCTGGAGAATCAGAAGGCTTAGAGTGAGCTAGGAGAATGTGAAAATGTAGGTTTGGCAGAGGGAGGGTCAAGCCCAAAAAGTGAAGAAGGCCTGGACATAGGGAGTTTCTGACCACTTTCCGCTGTGGTGACAGAAGTTATATTGGGGTCAGTCAGTGTTATAGTAAGAGATAAGTTGTGTGGGTCGGATCTCCTGTAAGTTGAGCCTGAAGGCATGTAAGTTGTGGAGGAGATAATTGGCAGGGACTGAATGTGAGGTCCCCATGGTTCAAATAGATGGAGTGAGAAGGGTGAGGAGAGAGCCTCCTATTAAGAGGAGGACAGGGCATGAGGCGTCCCCCAATCCTGGTGTCTGTCCTCCACGGATACAAAGATCACTCCTCAGAATGAGTGTCTTCAAACTGAGAGGATCTGGGCCCCCGGGACCCAGAAGAACCTTCTGGCCTAGTGCTAGGGCTTTTGGAAAACTGGAGAGTCAGAAGGTCCAGCAGAGAGAATAAGAGGTCTCACTTACCCGGTGTGAGAGTCTGGCCTGATGTTGTCTGGGATGTCAGCAACCGAAGGGAGAAAGTCCCAAAGCGCGTCCTTATGGCAGGTCCAGCAGGTCCGGCAGGTCCAGGAGGGTAGCCAGAGAGCGGATCAAGCCCGGGGACAGAGAGAAGCGAGAGAGAAGGGCGATCCTGCTTTCCCTGGCCTAAACCCTCCCGAGTTTCGGGACCAAATGATAGGTCAGCCAGTAAAGGAATGAGCACAGTCAGACAAGTTAAGAAAGTTTAAGAAAGTCTATTTTATTTAGAGAGAGAGTCTATTGGGCTGAGCAAAGATGGCTACAGCCCAGGCTGCACGTCTAAAGGAGACTTGCAGCCCTGAGGGAGGGGGTGAGGAGGGTTATATGGGGCGGTGATGACAGGCTAGCATTGTTTGAACAGAAAATGTTGACTGCCTGTATGCCAGTAGCTGTTTGGGGGAATTTTCTGTTATCACAAGCTGGGTTCTGTGTGCTGGTGCAGACCAACAGACATTTTGTTGTTTTCTTGCAGACATGGCTCTGTCTGTAAGTCAAGGTCCCTGAGACCTAACATTCAGAGACCTAACAGTAACATCTACTTTTAGTCATAAGTCTGTGAAGCGATCTCATTTTAATGCATTTAGAAATGCAAGGGATGGGAATATTTCTTACAATGGAGATAGCAAACTATGAATTCTTACTTATAATGACACTTTTTAAAAAATCAAGAAATTAATATTTCTTTCAGAACCCATAAATAAGAAGTATAAAATGCTTTTTACATCATCAACACATGTCACTATCAGAGCTACAGGGGGATCCTCAATTTGAAAAACCCACTTGTATTGTGGAACAAGTCAGGTCTTGAATGCCAAGGAGAAGGACTTAATTTTGTATGTATCTCTCTGTAAAATGTGAAAATTGTGTATTCTCACTGAAAGTCCAGATCATCTTGTTCTTACATGAATATTTTGGCTTCTGGGCATTATTCCTGACACCATCTTGTCAAGGAATCTTCAAAATGATATCATTTGGCAAGATCTTTTTGAAGTCTTTAAGCCATAATATTTATAAAATACTTTTATTTTAAATGAATACAAATGTATGCCCTTTGTACCAAAACATGAGCTACACCCAGGAACAGTGCCAGCCTTGCCATCTGGGGAGTGAATGACAGCAGGGTCCTCCTTCCAGATCCACTGAACTCACCCAAGATTTTCTCACCACTTATAGATTTATTCAACAGTCTCATGCATTTCTAGGTGGATATTTTGGCCTATTTTTAAAATGTCACTTATTTTGTTTCCTTATTTAAAGTGTTTCTACATATGTATTTCAAGTATATGGACAATATAGAAGAAATAAATAAGGAAATAAACATAACTAGTAATAAGCATTATTAACATTTTGATATAATGTTTCTGCCACTGTCAAAATCTATTTCTGAGTTCCAATACAAACTTTTTTTCTTTACCCCAGTGCACAAATGTAAAATAAAATCAAATGACACTTGATCTATTTGGGTCCTGAATTTGGAAAATAAGAGTTTGGATAAAGGGCCTTCTATATAGCTACAAGTATATTCAAGTTAAAGGGCTATGCATCAAAATGGTATTCTTGAAGAAATAATTCATTTTTTTCTTCAAATAACAAAACTTGCCTCATATTTTTAAGTAGGTAAGGCCACATAGGTTAGACAAAAGACAGTTTCAGCTTCTCTTGCTAATATCTCCTTTTCCCCACTTATAATTTCTGAAAATGTGGCCTTATATGTTTTTTAATGTAATGTTCTTAAAATATATCTAAGGATAACTGTCATAAAATGCTTCTGTTTAATTATAGCTCATAAGAACATATTTAAATGATTTAAATGGTGTGTTTTTCAGAATTTAAAATCAGAACGCTTTTTGTCCATAATATAAATAAAAATTGGTGTTAACACACATTTTTTGTTATAAACAACAATACCACCACTGCTGCAGCTAACATCTGTGTTAGCCAGCCAACAGCTTGTTAGCTTTCTTCTGTAAGTGTTCACGTTTCTTTTGAATCCTATCAATGACCAAGTAAGCCAGATGTGATTTCCCAGAGAGGGACCATTAAGGACAGAGATAGTCTCCTGAGCATAGGAAATCTGCAAGCACCTAAACAAGGACAAGCAGGGTCCAGGGAAAATGACAATGTCACTAACATGCTCATTCATGTCTGGCCACCAGAGATATTTAAAAACATACTAATCAGGAAGGTAAAATGTTAACTATTCATTTAAAGAAAAATCACACACACTATATCTATATCTATCTATCTATCTATCTATCTATCTATCTATATATATATATATTCTCAAACCAAAACTTAGTATGTATATAAATCCCAAGAGTGAAAATTTGTAATTCCCTCCAACTATATCCATTATTCTGCAATAGCATCATTAACATCTTTGTCTGTCTTTAGGTCACGGACAAAGTTGATTGGTGTGCAAAGCCACACATTAAGAATGTGTAGGGTAATAACCAGACTCTTAAGCACCAGGAACCAAAAGCTCCATAAAATATTACTCATAGAGTAATTTAGTAGAATAATGTAAATCTGAAGGTCTTAGATTATACAAATTGAAATTAGGTAGTATATCTTGAAGATCTGAGAACTAGGACCTTTACACTAAGGAATTATTTCATGGTTAGTTACATATGTATCAAGCAGGGAGAAAGGACAGGGTGCAAAAGAGTGGGGAGCTGAAAAAAAATCTTTAGAAAGTGAAGAACACCATTGAAACATTTTTTTTCATCCATCATCCAAAACACTGGAAGGCATATTTTAAATAACGAAACAATTGTGAAAGGCTTTCTCATTCAAGTAACATTCAGTATCATCGACATGTACACTGAACCAACCAGCCTTAAATCAAAAGTAGTAACAGCATAAACATATCTGCATTAGCAAAATGTTAAGACGTTTTGGCGTGGCTCTGGCTCAGAGGTTGTAGTCCTCCCTCCGTAGGTTTGACCTCATTAATGGTCTTCACAAGGCAGGTACCGTCGGTGAGATCTCCATAGTGCAACTTCACGTTTCCTTCACGGTGAGCCTGCAGATGAGATGGGGCAAGCCGAGGCGAGGCCGGCCCGGCTAGAGTGGCGGGCTGCGGCCTAGCGACCCCACGTCCCAGCTCCATCCATTTCTCAGAGATTGAAATCACTGGCTGTAATCGTAGATTTGCATGTTTCTTTCCAGGCCTATCAGTTTTGTCTCCATGTATGTTGAAGCTTGTCTGTTTGACATATAAACATTTAGGATTATTTACTTTTTGAAAGACTGGCTCCTTGATCATTTGAAAGGACCCACTTTCTGCCTGACCGTCTTGTGTACTCGGAAGCTTCACTTGCTAGATGTTAATACAACCATATCGGCTTTGGGGACTCATGTTTTCATGGTATGGATTCCCACCATGTTGTTTTTAATCAGTTCTTTTCTCTGTGGCAGGGTTCTTATACCCAATATAGTTGCCTCACGCTTAATTTTATCTAAATAATTTGACAATGTTTGTGTTTTAGTCACTTGGACAATTTATATTCAATGATACTGATGATATATTAGTATTTAAGTCTACATCATTTTTCTATGTTTTCTATTTGGCCCTCTGTCCTTTGTTTTCTTTTTCCTGTTACTTTACCTTGTTTTTCATTAAGTGTTTATGCGCATGTGTGATTACGCTTTATTGCCTAGTGGTTCTTAACTACAACATTTATAGTATAGATATTTAACTTATCATAGTCTAAAGTAATACTAAAGCAGTTCAGGTAAAGTTAAAAAGCATGCAGTAATTTACTTCCAATTCCCCCTCTCTTGGACTTTGTGCTATACTTGACATACATTTTATTTTTGCTGAAGTTAGAAAATGCACACAGATACTATGTTATTCATTTTGTGTTAAACATTCAATAATTTTCTGAGAAAATTATTTTATTTTTATTTATTATGTTCAATTACAGTTGTATTCAGTGTTATATTAGTGTCAAGTTTACAGCATAGTGGTTAGACACTGATACAGTTTACAAAGTGAAACCCTTAATTAGTCTAGTAGCCTTACACCACACATAGTTATTACAATATTATTGAATTTGTCTTATTTCTGATGAAACTAATTATACAACAGAACACAGAAGAGTAGAATTTATGTGGAAAAGAAGAAAAAAAATGTAAGGTAGATTTAAACTTGAACTATTGAGAGATATCTGCAAGATGAAAGACAAGCACCTTCCCCACATATGAGGTCTGACAATTAGTTTGCAAATTCATCCTAGAAAAAGTGCTACATACCTCATTGCTGAGTATCCTGCAGTCACCTTTGAAGTACTGCCCTTGGGAAGCTATGCACTGATGCCAGCACCTAGTCTAAACTTCAAAGTCATTTTGGAACTCTTTTTCTGGAGTGGCCATCAGAGCTGTCATCGTATTACTCTTGACGTCCTCAATGTCATCAAAATGTCTTCCTTGCAATATTTCCTTTATCTTTGGGTAAAGAAAGAAGTCATTGGGGGGCCCGATCAGGTGAGTAGGGAGGGTGTTCCAATACAGTTGTTTGTTTACTGACTAAAAACTTGCTCACAGACAATGCCATGTGAGCTGGCACATTAACGTGATACAAGAGCCATAAGTTGTTGGTGAAAAGTTCAGGTCGTCTAACTTTTCATGCAGTCTTTTCAGCACTTCCAAATAGCAAACTTCATCAACTGTCTGTTCAGTTGGTACAAATTCATAATAAATATTCCCTCTGATGTCAAAAAAAGGTTAGCTAGCAACAAGTTCGTGAACTTAATTGTCAGACCACACACACACACACACACACACACACACACGTGGTATGACAATTAAGTTCACAAAATTTCCACCATGCACTTACATGGGCAGCACTGTACAAAATGGCTTGGTGAGATTTCATAACCTTGGTATATTAGTGTCTCACAGCTGTGTTTGCATCAACATGTGGCAGTGTCTTTTTGAGTGGTGTTCATTATTGTTGTTGCGTGTTTTTGTGTGCCTTCGCAAGAATGTCTGAGCTTGAATTAGATTAACAAACATTAAATTTCTTGTTAAACTTGGCAAGAGTGGAAGTGAAATCAGGGACATGTTAGTCCAAGTTTATGGGGATAATGCCATGAAGAAAACAGCGGTATATAAATGGGTTAAACTTTTTTTTTAAGGGGAGAGAACGTGTTATTGATGATGAGAGGTCAGTGTGGCCAGTAACAAGCAGAACTCACGAAAACATTGCAAAAATTTGTCGAATTGGCATC